TCCTTTGGTTTGTTTGTTTTGTTTCATTTTTGTTTTTGTTTTAAATCTAAACTCACTTTGGCCATGCCACTTAAGGTGTGATGTGTTTAAATATTTTTAAATATGGAACAGGATGAAACAATTAAAACCAGCACATCTACATTATGCGCATATATATATATATATATATATATATATGATGTATATATTAATAAAATCTACCAAAAGCACAGTATTGTAGGTTAGGCATAAATGAAATGATTCACACTTTTGCTTGCATCCAGGATCTCCTCTTTACCTTGCCCTTTCTCTGTCGCTTTGTTTTTGTTTTTGTTTTTGTTTTGTGCATCTGTATCTGCTCTGAGGCCAGAAGGTGGCATTACCACCCTTGGAGCTGGAACTCCAGCTGCTGGGAGCCACCTGATGTAGGTGCTGGGAACTGAATCCTGGTCCTCTCAAAGAGCAGTACTCACTCATAACCTAGGAGTCATCTCTCCGGCCCCCTTTCAGCATGATTGGTCTTCTTTACAAAGGTCTTTTGCTTCCTTGGATAGCCCTATCCCTAGGTCATAATCCAGGCTAGATTGCAACTCCCAGCCATACCCCTGCCTCAGCTTTCCAAGTGCTAGTGTTGTAGACAAGCATTCCCCACCAACCTTTCCTTGTTCTGGTTGCTCTTTATTTTATAGAGCTCGACACTTGGTTAACTAAGTACTCTATCACTAAATTATAACCCCATTGGTTTTCAATTCTATAAAGTCTCACTGTTCTCATCCAAAAGAAAGAAAGGCTCCTGTCCCTTAACAGTTGCAGGAGAGAAGTGAGATAAACCTATACCTACAAAAATGCAATTATTGAGTGAAAATCTATTCATCTCTCCTATATACAATCGAATAATTCCTCATTGTCCCTGCCTCTACATGGAGTGGTCCTCAGCCAGGTCATTTGGGTGAAATTGCTACAAGTAACTTGTAATTCCCAGAACAGAGATACCCTCTAGTTCACAGCGGTAAGTCCCATGTGTGTGCACTGTCTGGAAATCCTGAAGGTAAATGGAGGGAGCTGCGAAGTAAGTACCTGTCTCTAGGTTCACTGTTCACTTCCTGGCAGTCACAGTCTAGCCTTGCCTTTCAGAAGTCTCATCCTGGGCCATTATATTTGTCAGGAACCATTTGGTTGCATGGTAGAACTTTTACTGAAACCAGAAAAGACTGGATGGGATTTGTTGGCTCATGGAGTTAGGAAGCATACATAGGTGACTTATGAATTAGAGAAGAACAAGAGAGACCAGGACTCACGTTCTTCCTATTTCTGCTGCTCAACGTTATGTTCTTTTAAACAACGGGGAATTTACTTCCTGTTTATTTCACACAGGTAGCACTTGAACACAGTGGGGAAAGACTGATCTGTCCATTTCAGGCCAAGGGCCCATCTCCTGGGCAGCCAATGTTGGCTAGCAGACGAAGGAACAATAATAATGTATGATAAATCTAGAATCTAGCACCTACTCACACGTTTAGGGACCGTGTGCATATAGGGAGAGTCTAACACAACACCGATTGATGCTAGTCTGGAAAGAAAACGTCATTTCAGCCAGGTGTGGTGTTGCTTGCTCATATTCATAGTACATGGGAGGTTAAGCCAAAGACAAGTTTGCTGCCAGACTGGGTGAAGCCAGAATGGGCTACGTGTTGAGTTCCAGGCCAGCCTAGGCTAGAAAGTGAAAACC